TGCCGTAGGGCCTGCTCGTTTTGCAAAGCTGATGGTTTTTCTTTCTCGGGACACGATTTAGTGGCCCCTCAGTCTGCCCTGATCCTAGGAGCAGCTAGTAGTTGCAGCTGCTCCACTCTCGCGAGCACTGAATGGGCAGCAGAGCTCGACAGGTGGCGCGAATCGGCGCCGCTGACCTGCCCCATCGAAGAATGGATCAAAAAAGAGTGGAGCGCACCCTGCTGGATCCAGAAGCAGGGGATCGCCCAGCATTTCGCAGAATTAGTGAATCGTCCACCCCACTGTGGCATCCCGATTGTCCAGCGGGGAGCCACGCATGCAACAGGCCGCATGGTATTTCGTGCGGCGCAAGCGGTGGGCAAGAAGCCCAAGCTCCAGCGCACGGTCCCCTCTTTCCTCCGCCTCTTTTCTCCTCCCCAATAAAATTGAAGTCACTATTTCCAAGCGTCTGAACGCTTGGGGCTTTGCTGATAGCGTCGTGGGCGGGGTGGCGGAGCGGGGGGGGGGGAGTGTCTTGCTACGATCAAGAATTACAGACCTGCTTGGCAGTGGTCAATAATGAAGACCATCGCAGCTGGCTGGACAACCAGCCATCGAAGCCACGAGCGTGAGATCGCTAATTGCCTTTTTGGGTCCGTCCAGATTGACTCCATCGCCCTTTATTTTTCCTGCCCCGTCCGCCGTTCCCTCCGTGGCCTCCCCTCCTACCATCAGACTTTCCCCGGCCTAGCGGCCGACAACGAATACAACCGCGAGAGCCGCACGTTCCCGCGCGCTGGTGCGCTGCGAATGGCCGTGTTGGCATTATATACTTACCACAAGGCGAGAGCTGGTGCGACCCATGGGGACCAGCTCACGCCAAGCCAACAGCGAGCCGCCGTCGCAGCAGCACAGCACGCCACTTACTTCTAAAGCGGCTGACGATGCGTGCGAACTGGCTCGCCTCAGGTACGGTCGATCATCATCATCATCATCATCATCATCATCCTCATCCTCATCCTCATCCTCATCCTCATCATCCTCATCATCAGCATCAGCATCAGCATCAGCATCAGCAGCAGCATCATCATCGTCATCATCATCATCATCATCAGCATCATCATCATCATCCCCCTCCTTCCTCCTCCTTTTCCTCCTCCTCCTCCTCCTCCTCCTCCTCCTCCTCCCCCTCCTCCTCCCCCCCTGCCCATCATGATCCCATTGACGTGCGTGGTCTTCGGGGCCCCGCGCCGGTGGCGGGCAGGGTTCGCGGGACGGCTGGAGGAACCGCTGGGGGCCAGAAGATGCCCGCCGCCCACGGAGCGGCCGACCAGTAGGGGGACACATGCGAACCCTACCCCTACCCCCCACGATTTCTGAGGGGGAGGATGGGGTTCCATTCGTTCGGGAGCTCCCGAGCGAAGTGAACTCCACCCTTCCATTCAGGAATCGTGGGGGGCAGGGGTAGGGATCGCATGTGGCCCCCTACAACCAGCCCCAGGCCCCGAAATGAGCGGAGCCGCAGCCTGGCAGTTTGCGGGTCGCAGTGCAGAGCGACGATGGCGTCAGTCATTCTGCCTGGGGCGCGGGAAGGAGCTGTCCACGCCGAGGACGAGTCGGAGATTGCCGCTGCGATGTTTGCCGCCGCCGCGCAGTGGAGCTGATCGACCTGCGGCGGGGTAAGTTGGAGGCCGCCGCTGCGATGGTCGACGTCGCCTTGCAGGACGAGCTGGAGCGGTTCGACTTACGGCCACCGCAGTTGCTTTCGGAGGCGGCTCAGCACACGGATTAGCAGAGAAGCTTCGAGCAGCACGATCTACAGAGGTGGGGGCTCTGCATGGACATCGAGGACCTCCAGCAGGAGGTTGAGGACATGCGTGGGGCCATCACTGAGCGCACGGGGATCTGCCAGAACCTCGAGAGTACCCCCCGTTGGGCTGCTGCGATCGGACTTGCACGCACGACCGCGCGCAAGACCACATCCAGGCCGATGGCATCGGGGACGGCGCGAAGGGCCGAGGCTGCCGAGACCACGCGGGAGGCGGACTGCATCAGCGAGCGGGGAGACGAGCTGCTGTCAGGAGGGGAAAAGACACATAGACACAATGAATCGTCGATTCCCAGAAAAATATGGGAAAATATGGGAAGTGCGGGGGGAAGACAAAAACCCAGAACATATGGGAAAATGTGGGGAATCTGTTTATTAGTGTGTATTTGTGTGTGTGTCCTGGGGCCCCTTCATGCCGGCGCGGGCGGGCGCAGGGCCCTCCTCGCGCCTGGCGCGTGCGGCGGCCTGCGAGGGGCGCCGCGGCCGAGGGGCCGCACGCGGAGCCGCGGGAGGCCCCTGCGCCAGACGAGGAGGAGGAGGAGGAGGCGGAGGAGGAGGAGGAGGGGGAGGGGGAGGGGGAGGAGGAGGAGGGGGAGGAGGAGGAAGAAGAAAAGGACGACGAGAAGCAGGGCGGGGAGAAGAGGCACAGGCCAGGAAGAGAGCCGAGTGGAAATTTGTCCTGTCGCTGGCGCGTCTCCATCCAGATGGTACGACATCTATTGCACGACCACATGAACTGCACCCGGCGGCATGTCCAGGCGGGGCGCACGTCCGGGGGCTCGGCAGGGGGGGCAGGGGGGGGGGGCGCCCGCCGCGCGAAGGGCGGGGTCTTCCCGACACGGGGAGCCGCCGCGGGGGCCGCCGCGGGCGCCTCCGCCTCCCGGGCGCACGCGCAGCGCTGGCCGACGGAAAGGCGCCGCGCCTGCTCCTCGAGGAGCGCGCCGCCGGCGCCACCCGCCTCGGGCCTGCGGCCGACGGGGCGCATGCCGCGGCACGGAGGCCGGCGATGCCAAGAAGCCCCAGGCAGAGGTCGGCGTCGAAGAGGCGCGGTTCCGCAGGGGCGGCGCGGTCGCTAGGGATCAGAGCCCCAGAATCATCAGGGGTAACTCGGGTCAGGGATAACTCGCGTTCCTTCTTCGGGAATCCAAACCCGAGTTACCCCGGACCCGAGTTACCCCGGATAACTCGGGCGTCCAGAGCCCCAGAATCATCAGGGGTAACTCGGGTCAGGGCTAACTCGCGTTCCTTTTTCGGGAATCCAAACCCGAGTTACCCCGGACCCGAGTTACCCCGGATAACTCGGGCGCCCAGCGGTTCCGCAGGGGCGGCGCGGTCGCTATAGGGAGCCGACCTGCGAGAGGCCGCGGCGTGGGTCGAGGATGGCCACGCAGTGGAGGGCGCTGACCGGGTGCCCGCCTGCCCCGCGCAGCTGACATCCTCGGTGCTCGGCGGCGGAGCGCAACACACCGTCCTCCTCCTCCTCCTCCTCCTCCTCCTCCTCCTCCTCCTCCTCTTCCTCCTCCTCCTCCTCCTCCTCCTCCTCCTCCGCCTCCTCGCGCCTAGGGTGGCCGCCCTGGGGGTCCGCAACGGGGTGCTGAGGATCTCGGGGGCGGATCGCCGTCGCGCTGCGGGGCCAGCACGTCATCTTCGCTCCCCGCGCCTCCGCCAGACGCGCGGGGAGTGAGGGCGGTCCCCAGGGACGCGGCCCTCGGAGCGGTGGCCGCGCGGCGCGCGCGGCCGCCGAGCGACCGACAGCCACCGTGGCTGAGGGGGAAAGCTCCTCCTCCTCCTCCTCCTTCCTTCCTCCTTCCTTCCTTCCTTCCTTCCTTCCTTCCTTCCTTCCCTTCCTTCCCTTCTCCTCCTCCTTCCTTCCTTCCTTCCTTCCTTCCTTCCTCCTTCCTTCCTTCCTTCCTTCCTTCCTTCCTTCCTTCCTTCCTTCCTTCCTTCCTTCCTTCCTTCCTCCTCCTCCTCTCCTCCTCCTCCTCCTCCTCCTCCTCCTCCTCCTTCCTTCCTTCCTTCCTTCCTTCCTTCCTCCTCCTCCTCCTCCTTCCCTCCTCCTCCTCCTCCTCCTCCTCCTCCTCCTCCTCCTTCCTTCCTCCCTCCTTCTGCAGAATGAGGGAGGGCACATGCGCCACCACTCGAGCGCTTCTGACGGGCGGGATTAGGTCACAGTGGCCCAGTATCTGTCCTGGTGCAAGCGCCTCACGCAAAGTGGCTGCGCCCGACGGGCGACCGTGGGCCCGCCAGCTGCGCTGCACGGGAGCGTCAGCAGGCATGATGAAAGAGAAAGGCATCCGGGTCGGCCCGGGTGGCTTGCCATTCCGCATGCTGGCAGCTGGCGTACAATGCCTACCAGTGATGGGCCCTTGCGTGCGCTTTCGACGCGGCCCGAGTCCACTGGCCCACTTCAGCCACTCGCCTTGCGCCAGGCTCTCCGACACCTGCCACCGCACTCTTCGGTGATGACTTCCTTGGCGGTCAGCGGGCCGCCGGCCTTTGCAATACCTAGTGATCTCCTAGTTACTCCTTTCTGCACGAACGAAATGGGCACTGAAAGAATGGGTACCATGCCCAACAGCAGTTCCTGTTCATTTTGACCAGGACTCGCTGTCCGCGCCGCCGCGGCCTGTGTCCATTCGAGACAGGAGGCCGCCTGCCCAACAGCGGCTGCTGTTGGTTTGGGACAACTTTTGTTGTTGGGCATAGTACCATTTTTTTCCGTACCCATTTCGGGCGTCCAAATCCTTGGCTGCGGCACGGACCCCCCGTGCGGGGTGAGGCACCCTCGGGGACACGGGGGCTGCAGGCGTGAGCGAGCGGGGCGCGAGCAGCTGGGGCCTGCCTCGCTCGGCTTGCGAGGCCCCCGCGTGCCAGCGCCTGCGGGGCGGCGGCCTCAGCGAGGCCGCCGCTGTCTCCGGCACCTCCATCCCCCAGCTCCTCGCTCCCTCCTTTTTTGCCTCCTCCGCCTCCTCCGCCTCCTCCGCCTCCTCCTCCTCCTCCTCCTCCTCCTCCGCCTCCTCCGCCTCATCCTCCTCCTCCACCTGCTCCCCCTTCTCCCCCTCCTCCTCCCCCTCCTCTTCCTCCTCTTCCTCCTCTTCCTCCTCCGCCTCCTCCGCCTCCTCCGCCTCCTCCTCCTCCTCCTCCTCCTGCCCCGCCTCCTCCTCCTCCCCTCTTCCTCCGCGGCCTCGGCGAGGCCGTCGTCATCTCCAGCGTCGTCCGCAGGGGCAGACGCACCGCCGCACGCGAAGCGCCGCCGCATCCCAGAGGCCATGGGCGCAGGCCGGAGGGGCCGCAGAGTGCTTCGCGAGGAGGGGGCGGGAAGGAGGAAGCAGGAGGGGGGAGGATTGCTGAGGAGGCAGGGGCGGGGCCGGCGGGGAGGTGCCCGGCGAGGAGGAGGAGGAGGAGGAGGAGGAGGTCGGAGGAGGTCTCTCGATGATCCGCTTCACCGTCGGTCTCTTCCCCGCCCCGGCCTCTCGTTTCCCCCCCGTGCCTTGTAATTGTAGTTTTCTCTTTCTCGTTCGATATCCCTCGCCCACTCGTCCTCGCCATCGCCTCCGTTGCCGTCCTTTTTCGCCCAGCCACGCCAACCGCCTCCTCACCCATATCTTGTCGCTGTCCTCTGCGCTCCACTCTTATGCGTCCCCTTCTTTTTTTTGCGTTTCCCACCTTCTGTCCTCGCCTCCCGTCTCCGCCCATCGCCTCCTCCCTGCTATTCTCCCCACTGCTCCTTTCCAAAACCCTCTCCCGACCAGCCCCTGCTCTCGTTTCATCATCTTCCCCGTCGTCCCAGCCCCTTTCCATCCCTCTCCCTCTTCCCTCGCAGAACCTGGAGCCCAGAAATCCCGCAGCATGATCGGCACATCGTCAAAGTTCCCATCCCTTGCCCATCCCTCTTTCCTCCCCCTCCTCCTCCATCGCTCCATCCCTGCCTTGCCGCCTCCCTCTCCTTTTCCCGGAAAGGGCTCGGGCCCAGGGTTCTCTTTTAGTGTGTTTACTCTTGGTTCTGACGGCTGTAGGGCTGGCGAAATTACTTTGCGATAAATAACGAAGTCGCGTAGGGCCGGCGAATTAGATGTTTGAGGATGTCTCGAGCGAAACGCTTGTGCTTCAGAATTTGTTGAGGATGTCTCGAGCGAAATGTTTGTTTTGTGTTATAGAGTGTCCTCCCCTGAGGACCAGAGAAATGCTTCTTTTCACGTGCCCAGGTCGTGAGGATGTCTCGAGCGAGACGCTTGGTTTCACGCCTCCAGGTTGCCCAGGCAGAGGTCAAGCGCCAGGATTTGTTGAGGATGTCTCGAGCGAGACGCTTGGTTTCACGCGTCCTCGTCGCCCAGGCGGATGTCTAGCATGAGGATGTGTTGAGGAAGTCTCGATCGAGATGCTTGTTCGCACGTGTCCAGGTTGCCCAGGCGGATGCCTAGCATGAGGATGTGTTGAGAATGTCTCGAGAGAACCACTAATTTTCACGTGTCCAGGTCGCCCAGGCGGATGTCTAACATGAAGATGTGTTGAGGATGTCTCGAGCGAGACGTTTGCTTTCACGTGTACAGGTCGCCCAAGAGGATGTCTAGAATGAGAAGGTGTTGAAAACGTCTCGAGCGAAACGCTTGTTTTCACGTGCCCAGGTCACCCAGGCGGACGTCTCACATGAAGATGTGCTGAGGATGTCTCGAGCGAACCACTTGTTTTCATGTGTCCAGTGCGCCCCGGCGGATGTCTAGCATGAGAATGTGTTGAGGATGTGTTGAGCGAAACGCTTGTTTTCACGTGTCCAGGTCGCTCAGGCGGATGTCTAGCATGAGGATTTTGTCAGGATGTCTCGAGCGAAATGCTTGTCCCCAGCACGTTCCGTAGCGCGTCCCCTTGGCACGTCCCGCGGTTCGTCCCCATGGCACGTCCCTTGGCACGTCGCTTGGTGCCGGCCTTGGGACGTTTTGCGGCGCGTCCTCCTGGCATGTTCCCTTGTCAATTAGCTCTGCTACTATGTGTTCAGGCAGCTCGAGCTTAAGATCCAGATCAGTTCGGTCAGGACTCGGATGCAAAGGAGGACTCGATCCACAATGCTATAGAGCACAATCGCGGCATGGCACATCGCAATTCAGCACGGCGCAGCACAGCACAGACTTCGGCACGGTACATCAAGATCGACACACTCAGCATTGCAACCTGGCACGTTCTTTGGCACGTTCCGTGGGGCGTCCCTTGGCGAGTCCCCCTGGCACGTCGCGTGGCGCGTCCCCTGACACATCCCGTGGCACATCCATTGGCACGTTCCGTAGCGCGTCCCCTTGGCACGTCCCGCGGTGCGACCCCATGGCACGTCCCCTGGCACGTCGCTTGGCGCGTCCCTTGGGACGTTTCGCGGCGCGTCCTCCTGGCAGTCCCCCTGTCAATCAGCTCTGGGGCAGCTACTATGTGTTCAGGCAGCTCGAGCTTAAGATCCAGATCAGTTCGGTCAGGACTCGAATGCAAAGGGGGACTCGATCCACGACGCTATAGAGCACAATCGCGGCATGGCACATCGCAATTCAGCACGGTGCAGCACAGCACAGCCTTCGGCAGGGTACATCAAGATCGATGCACTCAGCATTGCATTTTCCCGTCGCCCAATCCGGTGTCTCTGAACACGCTGCCAGGCGCTACATTTCTGTACTCCTTTCTGGGCTCGTGGGTCGATCGTGCTTCTCCCCCCCGACCTCATCCTCCCATGCCTCTCCGTCTCGCTCCCGACTCCCTCCCCGTCCCTCGTGGGTCGATCGTGCTTCTCCCCCCGACCTCATCCTCCCATGCCTCTCCGTCTCGCTCCCGACTCCCTCCCCGTCCTTCTCCTCCGGCCCCCCCCCCTCCCGCACGGCGCAGGGGGCTCTGGCGCGAGCCCCGGCAGCGGGGGGCGGCGGCAGGGCGGCGAGGACGGCGCCGCGTAGCGCGCGCGGGGGCAAAAAAGAGAGCGAGGGCCCCGGGCCTCCCGCTGCCGCGGAGCGGGCGGGGGCCAGGGGAGGCGGGGGGCCTCGCGCGGGCGAGGCCCCGCCGCGGAGAGGGGCCTCGCTGCTGCGGGGGGGGGGGCCTCGCGCGGGCGATGGGGGGGGGGGGGGGCGCGGGGGCCGTGCACCAGGGAGCGAGGGAGGGGGGGGGGTCTTGCGCTGCGGAGGGGGCGGGGGAGGGGGGGGGAGGGGAGGGCGACACCTTGAGCAAGAGTTGCCACCGATTGGACACGCTACAAGAATGGCCACCGATGGACACTCGGCGGCGAGCGAGGGGGGAACTGAGAAGGAGACGGCCTTCTCAGAAGGTTCGGAAGTCCCCCGGCCTTCTGACCCAGTTTCCTAAGCCTTCCCCGGAAACAAGCAAATAACTTCTCAGAAGGCGCGAGGGTTTCTGAGAAGTCCCGCCGCCTTCTCAGAAGGCCTTCTCCTTGTCACTTCCCCCCCCCTCGCTCGCCGCCAAACAGATGGATTCGCTTAGGGGAACGAAGAATGGCATAAACATAACAACTCGGACGTCCACGCGGAATTCTCGGATCCGCGCTGGACCCCCTCTGGCGGCGCCTCCGAGAAATCCGCGCGAAATCCGCGCGCCCTTCCCCGCTTTCCTCCCTGTGTGGGAGGATTGCCAAGCTCCTCCTCCCTCCCTCACTCCCTCCTCGCTTGCGCGAAGTAGCCCCGTGGACCCTTGATCTTAATTTTGGCAGAGGCTTGTTTGGATAAGTTGCTGCCTGTTTTTTATCATGAGAGGTTGGGGAAGGTTGTTCAGTTGTGTGCGGAGAGGTGGAGGTGCAGAATAACAAGTTGCCGTCGTTTTCTGTGCCGCCTCTTTCTGCCACCCCTCTCTGTCTGCCCGCTCTCTGGTGGCATGCAACAGCGGGGGCCCTACGGCATGATGACTCAGGACCATGCTGTTGCTGCCATCTTTGCCTCGATTACGATCTCGGTGCTTCTCTCTCCGTTCGGTCTCCAGCTGCCGCCTTAGTTCGAGAGGTTTCGGGTGCCGTGCCTTGTACGGCGAACCTTTCTCGGGGCGGGCAGACACGTGCGCCGGCCCGCACCCGCGCACCGGGTTCGCCAGGCCATCTCACCTCCCCCACTCCCCTTCCTAGCTTTCAGCTGACTATGGTCGGGACCGGGAGTGGGATTGGTATGTTGACGGCGACGAGGTTCTACTGCGGCGTTGGAGCAGGCACTGGCCACAGGTCGAGCGTCCGAAAACCGTGCACTCCCCCTGGCTCCTGCCTCGCACCCGCCCCCCACTCAGCTGCCTTTTCGTCGGCCCCCTCTTGCCTCTGGGTGCTTCTCTTGTCGTTCGATCTCTAGCTGCCGCCCCAGTTCGAGAGGTTTCGGGCGCCGTACCAGGCACGGCGAACCTCCTTCGGGGCGGGCGGCCACGCGCGCGGGCCCTGCCCGCGCATCGTACAAGCCAGGCTGTCCCACATTCCCAACTTCCCCTGGGTATCGGTTTGTTGGCGGGGACGTAGTTCGCACTGCGGCGATGAGGCAGGCATGGGGCACAGGTCGGGCATGCGAAAATCGTGCACTCCCGCTGGCCCCTGCCTTGCACACGCCAACTTAGCGGCCTTTTTCGGCCCTTCGCAGGCTATCTCACCTGCTCCCCTCTTTGATCGGCCTCCTTTTGTTTTCCCCCTGCCCCCGCTGCGTTGCGATGCGCCTTGAGCGCCTTCCGACGAGATGGGGGCGGTACGGGTTAGGTGACGGGGGCGGGGAGATTCACCAAACCTTGGGGCCCCTGCTGCTAGATACCGCGTATTTCTGCCAGCAGCTAGTGAGTGCCGCATCAAGCTGACCTTCCCCTCGGCGAATCAGAGCGCAAACCATTCCCTCCTTCTTCAGTCTCTCCTCCCTCCCCCTCCTCCTCCTCCCTTCTCCCTCCTCCTCCTCCTTCTCCTTCTCCTTCTCCTCCTCCTCCGTTTTCCTCCTCCTCCTTTTTCCTCCTCCTCCCTCCTCCTCATCCTCATCCTCATCCTTTTCCTCCTCCTCCTCCTCTTCCTCCTCCTCCTCCTCCCCCTCCCCTTCCTCCTTTCCTCCTCCTCCTCCTCCTCCTCCTCCTCCTCCTCCTCCTCCTCCCCCCTCCTCCTCCTCCCCTCCCTGCTCCTCCTCCCTCCTCCTACTCCCTGCTCCTCCTACTCCTGTTCCTCCTCCCTCCTCTCTCCTCCTCCTCCGTTTTCTCCTCCCCCTCCTCCTCCCTCCTCCTCCTCCTCCTCCTCCTCCTCCTCCTCCTCCTCCTCCTCCTCCTCCCCTCCTCCTCCTCCTCCCCCTCCTCCTCCTCATCCTCCCGTTCCTCCTCCTCCTCCTCCTCCTCCTCCTCCTCCTCCTCCTCCTCCTCCTCCTCCTCTCCTCCTCCACAATTACACAATATGAAAATACTCTCCCACTTCCCCTGATGGCGTCCCGAAGATATCCGACACCCCCCCGCGTATTGTTTTTTTACACACAGGATTCCCGGGAAACGGGTTTTCGCTTGTGTTTTTTTTTTCAAAATGCTGCTCTCGCCGAGGCGCCGGCCTCATTTTCGGGCCCCGTTCGTTCCGAATCGTGCTCCCGCTGCAGCGCTGGCCTCATTTCCGTGCTTCCGCTCGTTCCGAATCGTGCTCCCGCTGCAGCGCTGGCCTCATTTCCGCGCTTCCGCCCGTTTCGACTCGTGCTCCCGCTGCAGCGCTGGCGTCATTTCCCGTGCCATGCCACAGCACACGCGCACACACGCGCACACACACACACACACACACACACACCACACAACCCACACAACCACCACCACCACCACCACCACC